TTACCTTATCTATATTTATTCATTTCCCCCGAGTCAAGGTAGATCACGGGACCCTCCTTATAACACATTGGCTCTGCCACTACATGAACCCCTTATAAGTCAGTAAATCAATTATTGAATGGTAGATAACAAATATAAAAATTCAATTGATAATCAAGAAATTCATAAGATTTATTATTAAAAGTTTTAATTTTAGTTATAAATAATTGTTTCAAATAGAAGTGTATGCATAACGTTATCATACATTTATCAAGTGAAAATGATAGGACGGTTGATTATAAATAAGTTTTGCTTATAACCTCTTCTCAACAACATACCAGCCTCTCTATTCCCTTCCTAATTATTCCTTGGCGAACAAATTGACACCAAAAGTTCCTCCCCATACAAATTTAACCCCAAGCCAACCTATGGATCAAGCTAGTTGGATCAGAGTGTGGGACGCAAACCTACCTCCTAAGCTGAAGATTTTCGTCTGGCAAATCCTCAACCGTTTCTTGCCTACTACTGAGGCTCTGATTGAGAAAGAGGTTGACGTCATCCCTAGATGTCCGGTGTTTTGGGCTGAATCTGAAACTTTGGAACATTTGTTCCTGGATTGTCCAGTGGCACGTGCCCTCTGGGATATGGCAGGCCTGCAACACCTTGGGGAAGGATTGCCAAGACATACTTTCCCTCTTTTTCTAAAACCTTGTTGGCTAGGATTCGTCAACCCCCAATTGTTATTGCCATTGTCTCGGTCCTCTGGCGGATTTGGCGGTCTCGGAATTGGGTAGTGTTTGAGGGAAAGCAGTTTGGGTTTCAGTCCCTGTTACGGCAGTATGAGCAGCAGGTTTGGGAATGGACTTCTCTGCCAAAAAATGATGCGGCCAACATCCCTGGGGGTGCTGCCCCACCCCTTCTCCATGAGGATATGGGCGTGGTTATCTGTGTGTGGGATGGGGCTACCAAAAGTGAGTCGCATTCTGCAGGGGATGGTTATCTTGACCCCTAATAGGGAAATCCTTTTGGCTCAAGGAGTCCAGTTTGTAGGCTTGGATGACCCAACGGTGGCAGAGTTGCTTAGTCTTCGAGAGGCCGTGTCTTGGGTCATGGGCCTTGGTTTTATGGAGATGAGATTTGAAGGTGATGCCAAAGTGGTGATCGAGAAGATTCTGCGGCGTGATACTCTGGATAACCAGGTAGAAGCTATTTTTGATGAAGTTATTCATTTGGTTGGTTTGAGACTTGGGTTTAGTCTGCGATTTGTAGGTCGGAGTAACAATAGGGTAGCTCATGGAGTAGCTAGGAAAGCCCTTGATGAGGTCATCAAAGCAAAACACACTCAAGTTGAAGGACCAATAACTCAAGCTAGGGCTAAGGCTTTTCGGGATCAAATTGCAAGCTATTTGGCTAAGGAGTTGGAGGGCTTAAGCTTGGATTTGCTAGAAGGAAAGTCCATCACACTATTGAGCTATGTGGATCACGAAATTGGGCTCAAAGGGAGGGAAGGAGGGTCGGCCATGGAGAAGGAGTCTCAAGGTGTGAATGGAAACAACAATGGATAAAGATCATGGTGTGAACACAAGGTGTGAATGGAATCATCAATGGATAAGGATCAAGGTGTGAACACAAGGAGGAAGGCACCATTCAAGGCTAGATTCTAGGAGGAAGTTTGACTAAGTCTTTTCCTTGTTTGTTAAGGTTTTTGTTTTCCTTGTTTGTTAAGGTTTTTGTTGTCCTTTTTCAAGTAGGATTTGGTGTTCCTTAGTTGTTTTGTGTTTAGATTCGTGGGTCTATAAATAGGAGTCCAACCAATGTATTTTTCATTCAAGTTTCAGCAATCAAATACAAGTGTTTACAAGTTCAAGTGAACGTTTTGCTTATTCGCTCCTTTGAGGATTCGGGAGGTTTGAGTGGTCTCTTATCAACTAGAGAACGCGTCTAGTTGTGGTGAGCATCGACGATATCGGTTGGCCTCTTCCACGGGTTCGAGATTGTTTGGAAGGTTTCATATACCTTCTGGCCCTTCTCACGAGTTCGGATTTGTTTGATCGATTCCGCAAGTATCTTTATTTTCGTGCTATTCAAAGAAAGGAGAAAACCCAAAAAAAAAAAGAAGAGTTCGACGTTGTGCAATTCTGATTTTTGGTCCAAGTTTGGGTGGATTCTCGAATTAGGATCATATCAAGTGGTATCAGAGCCTGGTTCAAACGCAGTGGAGAAGACAAAGATTTTTGGAGTTCTTGGTAGTTCGGGAAGCATTCTTGGAAATCTTGAACGTCAAGAAAGCAAATCTTGAACGCTCTTGAGAGTTTCTTGTGTGGCAATGAAGGTATCTTGAAGACAAAGCATTCGTGGGGTTCTTCTTTAGCAAGAAACCATGGCAGAACAAGCACAGGATGTGGCGACACAACTTCAGCAACTCGCTGCACAACTAGCTACGGTACTTCAAGAACAAAGGGAGACAAGGGCACAAGTTGAGGCGTTGCAAACACGTGATCAAGAGCAGCCTCAACAACGAGAACAAGAGCCACCCCAAGGCGAGTTTGCAAACCCTAACCATAGGGAACGACGAGAAGAAAGGAGAGTTTTTCGAGCTGTTCAACGTCCAATGTTTGAGAATGTTTGTCGACATAGGCCATTGGGAGGGCATCGTGGTGCAAGGAGAGACTTCCCCTTCTATGACGAGGAAGGGTATGAAGAATACGAGTATGATGGAGGTGCTTACCGAGATGATGATGATCTACGAGGATTGAAGATAACCGTACCATCTTTCAAAGGGACAATTGATCCAGAAGCTTATCTCGATTGGGAACGCAAGATGGAGCTGATTTTTGATAATCAAAACTACTCAGAGAAGAGGAAAGTGGCGATGGCTATTATTGAGTTTACGGATTATGCCCTAGCGTGGTGGGATCAATTGAGCACGAAGAGAAGAAGAGATAGGCGCAGGCCTATTGAAACATGGGATGAGTTGAAGGCAATCATGAGAGATCGATTTGTTCCAGCCTATCATCAACGGGAAATGCACCAAGCATTACAACTTCTTCGACAAGGCAACAAGAGTGTTGAGGATTACTATCGAGAGATGGAGTTGTTAATGATTCGAGCTGATGTTCGTGAAGATAGGGAAGCTACCATAGCTCGATTTCTAGATGGTCTAAATCGAGAGATTCGTAATGTCATGGGAATTCAACAATTTGTGGAGGTAGAAGATTTGGTGGCTATTTGCAGCAAGGTGGAGAGGCAACAGAAGAATAGGAGGTTTCTACCCTCTACAAGTACTACAAGGCCTTTACCAGCACCTACAACAAACCCTAGGCCGAGTGTTCCTACAAGAGAATCTATGAGGAGGATTCTGATTTTCGAGAGATTTACAAGCTTTGTGAGAAGCATGGAGAAGAGAAGTACTACCGACATGAGGGCTACTTGTTTCGTGGTAATCAACTTTGCATACCACGTACTTCACTTCGAGAATTGCTACTACGAGAAGCCCATGGAGGAGGATTGATGGCACACTTTGGTGTAGCCAAGACTTTGAGTTGCTTACTAGAGCATTTCTATTGGCCTCATATGAAAAGCGACGTGGAGAGCTTATGTGCTAGATGCGTGGAGTGCAAGCAAGCTAAATCGAAGGTGCAATCGTCTGGATTGTACACTCCACTAACCATTTCCTCGTTGTCGTGGGTTGATATATCTATGGACTTCGTATTGGGGCTTCCAAGGACGAAGAGAGGTCGAGATTCTATCTTTGTGGTGGTGGATCGATTCTCAAAGATGGCACATTTCATTCCATGCCATAAAACTGATGATGCGGTTAATGTGACGGATCTGTTCTTCAAAGAAGTGGTGCGACTACATGGGATGCCACGCAACATTGTTTCTGATCGAGATGCTAAGTTCTTGAGCTACTTTTGGAAGACGTTGTGGAGCAAGTTGGAACGAAGCTATTGTTTTCGACTACTTGTCACCCTCAAACGGATGGGCAAACTGAAGTGGTGAATCGTACTCTATCTCAAATGCTTAGAGCCATCATCAAGAGCAACATCAAGACATGGGAGGACTGCCTACCTCACGTGGAGTTCGCTTACAATAGAGCCGTGCATTCGACAACGAAGTATTCTCCATTCGAGATTGTGTATGGGTTCAATCCTCTTACCCCATTGGATTTGACACCTTTACCTTTAAAGGAGCAAGTAAACATGGATGGAGCTAAGAAAGCGGAGTATGTGAAGAATCTCCATGAGAAGGCTCGGCTAAATATTGAAAGAAGGACGGAGCAGATCTTGAAGAACGTCAACAAGCATAGAAAGGCTCGAAATTTTGAAGCAGGAGATTGGGTGTGGGTGCATATGAGGAAGGAAAGATTCCCACATCAAAGGAGATCCAAGTTGCTTCCCAGAAGTGAAGATCCCTTTCAAATCATTTCGAAGGTTGGGACAAATGCATACAAGCTTGATCTACCAGGAGAATACAACATAAGTGCAACCTTCAACGTTTCTGATCTTGCACCATTTCTAGATGATAATTCGGATTTGAGGGCAAATCCTTTTCAAGAGGGAGGGACTGATGAGGTCATCAAAGCAAAACACACTCAAGTTGAAGGACCAATAACTCAAGCTAGGGCTAAGGCTTTTCGGGATCAAATTGCAAGCTATTTGGCTAAGGAGTTGGAGGGCTTAAGCTTGGATTTGCTAGAAGGAAAGTCCATCACACTATTGAGCTATGTGGATCACGAAATTGGGCTCAAAGGGAGGGAAGGAGGGTCGGCCATGGAGAAGGAGTCTCAAGGTGTGAATGGAAACAACAATGGAGGGGAGTTCGACGTTGTGCAATTATGATTTTTGATCCAAGTTTGGGTGGATTCTCGAATTAGGATCTTTTCAGCCCTGTCATTGTTTCCGACTGCAAGTCGTTCTTTTGATTTTCAGGCCTGGCTGTCCTCCAGGATGTAACTATCTTTGTTTCAATATATATATATGATTATCTTTTGTAAAAAAAAAACCCCAAGCAAACCTTAATTAGGCAGTCGAACATGACTTCAGCACGACATCATCAATCGGCAGCTTATCCTCCGAAAAGGGACAATCCCCTGCCTTCCCCGTCAATGCGTCGCACAACTTCGGTGTCACCCGGCTTGTCGTCCTGGCAAAATTCGTACAGTTCCATTGCAGCTCCCGGGCCGCTGGGCCCAAATTCAGGGTCACATTCGAGATGCAGATCCCAGTAAACTGGGCCTTGTCGAGCCCATCGAGTATGGCCGAGACGGTGACGTTTTGGGCCACCACATCGCGGTAGCTAGGGGTGTTCAAATGGTTACCATGGTAATAACCAAACCAATTAAGCCTAAATTTTATTAATCATGGAATAAAACGTCTTAACCAAATCGTCTAAATTAACACGAAAACCAAATTAACCAAACCAAAGTTTAATTGGTTTGGTTAATCGGATAATCGAATTAACCAAATAACATAACATTACATGAAAACAATTATCCTGTTAATGAATAAAACATAACCATATGTTGTTACTATCATAAACTATCATTATATATAAGCAATTAGAATAAGACTAACCATCCATGATTATCATCATCATTCGAGTTAATACATCATTCATCCTCTCTGCATCTAATATAGTCAGTTTACAACAAATCTAATAACATAAATACATACCATGACCACTCATCAGGAAGTTAAATCTCTCCTACAAAACACTTAAACTATACATAGTTTGAGGTGGGTTGTCATGGTATTGTACGTAATCCTAAAGTCTAGTAGCTATCCAAAATGTTTTGGTTTAGTAAATAGGCAGACCCATTTAATTTTTTACCCATAATGTTTTGGTTTGTTGTGTACATGAAAATAAAATAGCAAATCGCAAAAGTTTGGTTTGGTTGGTTGCATGGAAGTATAAATAATTCTGTATATTAGGTGTATCATTAATTGGTTAATTGGTTTCATTGGTTAGCAGTGTTGAAACCAAACCAAACCAAACCACCTATACCAAATAAGCTAAATTGTTTAACCAAACCAAACTAATTATCCAAATTAACCGAATGCTACCGGTTAATATGGTTATGACGGTAACCAATCCGATTGAACACCCCTAGCGGTAGCTGATGTTGTGGACTACGGGCAGGGCGTGGGGTCGAACCGCCTTCAGCGTGGGACTTGTAGGCGCCGGACATCCAGGACACTTTCTCCATCCCGCTTATCGTCATTCTCCGGGCGAAGATGTCCTTCATGTATCCGCCCCGGCCCACCACCGGCTTTATCCGGGTGCCCGACTGGCTGTTGATCGCGGTCATATCTTCGATCCATACGTCCTGGATCCCTCCGGACATCTCACTGCCGAGCGCCACCATGGCGAGCTGATAAGTCCTGTATGTTATTTTTTTCCCGACCGGGTGGTATCAGCTATTTGTTGAATTATTGAAGCAATTCTTAATTCTCCATTCAACTCCAGAAGCTTCATCAATAAGAAATTGCAAGAGCAAAAATCTGCTCATCTACCAACTACCTATCGAGTCACTTGAAGAAATAAACTATGACAAAATTACATACACCACTTGTTAGTGTCGGCTAAGCCAACATGGTGAGCTGGCCTTGTTAATTAGTCTCCCTAGAGCTATCTACAATGACAGTGTGTATAGTATATATATATACTAGGTGGCGATGCCGCGCCTTGTTGCGGGCGGAATTGGCTTATGGGCATTTTGTGACCAGTTATGGTGTTTTGTTAGTATTATTAGTCTAAAATTAATTGTTTGTTAGCAGTTTTGTTAGTAATATTGATTTGAAAACATAATATTGACTGAGAATAGATATATGACGGTCAACATCCAATTATTTTTTTTTTTTAATTTTGGGCTAATAAACGCTATTTACCTAAACCCAAGTAGAACCAATGATTATGGGTATATTTACCTAGGGTATGAGTGACGTATATACCGGTTTGTAAGTTTGTAGATGGGTTTGGGTAGGGTATGAATATTTACTTTCATAATCTAAATGTGTATGAGTTGGGTATGGATACCCATTTATCCAAGGGTGTCTTAATTACACATACAAAAATTAGACTTATTTGTAGACCTTCAAAGGTTTAGGTACCAAAATGTAATACACAAAAATTTTAGGTACTAAAATATAATGTTCCATTAATATTTTGAGGCTTATATGCCAAAAAAATTAATTTAGGTTATAAATCTAAAGATATATTAAGTTTAGGTACCGAATTGTAATTTGCATAGTTGAGGCTTAATTTATTTTATGATGATGTATTTAAGATAATAATTGTTTACTTTTTTATAGATTTTTTTTTATAAAAAATGGAAACTATGTACTTGATATGTGTAGATACCTAGCCAAACATTCTATGTATAATTGTTGAAAATTCTAGTCCGGGTGAAAAGAAAAACTCTAGAGAAGCAAAAGCAATACAATGAGACACGCTTAAAATTTCACGCCTTCATATCCTATAGTGGAAAATGACGACTTTCTAATAAGTAATAACCATATATATTTACTTTTAATTGGACTCGAGATTGAGCTGAAAAAGTTAGTGGTTCATGGTTCAATTATTAATTCTCTAGACTGTTGGTGAGTCGTGTATGGACCCGTTCATACTTGTGATTAGAATACATAAAATAGTATACTAATTAGGGTTATAGAAGGAGAGTGAAAAATGAAACGAAGAGAAAGTAGATGATGGAAAAGATTGGTGGATTGGAATCATGGATTCAAGTGAAATCTAAACATTGGATCAATATGTAAATTTTAAAAATTTTAGGTATGAAAATCTCATAAAATTTAGTTATCAAAACATAATTGTTCAATGATTTTAAATTAAAATTAAATTTGGAGTATCAAAATATAAAATATACAGTATAGTGACTAATTTGTAATGTAAATAAATTTGGAGTATCCACATGTTATTGTTTATGCAACAGTAACCTTACTTGAGGTTTATATATATATATACATATGGTGCCTTCTACGGTACCTCGGGTGAAATCCGGGGTACCGCATACCTTGAGTATGAAAACGCTATCTAGACCCCGAATTAGCAGGATTTTTGGGCATGATACTATACCCTAACCCTTATTGAGTGAACCCTATGTGCTAATTATCTAAATCATAAACTATAAACCCTAAGATGGTGCATTAATTTTTTTGCCTATATTTGGACGAATCATAACCGTCGATTATTGTTTCTAATTAAATTGATCTTGGAATGTAAGATTTAGAGAATTAAGACCTAGATTTTGATCTTTAAGGGTTAGAGTATAGTTTCATGTCCGAAAGATCAGTCAATTCAAGTTATGGATAGCGTTTTCTTACTCAAGGTATGCGATACCCCGGATTTCACCCTGGGTACCGTAGAACTCCCCATGTACATATGGGGGAGTTCTACGGTACCCAGGGTGAAATCCGGGGTACCACATACCTTGCGTAAGAAAACGCTATCCAGAACTTGAATTGACTGATCTTTCGGACATGATACTATACTCTAACTCTTAAAGATCAACATCTAAGTCTTAATTCTCTAAATCATATACCCCAAGTTCAATTTAATTAGAAACAATAATCGACGGTTATGATTCGTTCAAATATAGGCAAAAAAATCATTGCACCATCTTAGAGTTTATAGTTTATGATTTAGATAATTAGAACCTAGGGTTCACTCGTTAAGGGTTAGGGTATAGTATCATGCCCAAAAATCCTGCTAATTCGAGGTCTAGATAGCGTTTTCATACTCAAGGTATACGGTACCCCGGATTTCACTCGGGTACCGTAGAAGGCACCATATGTACATATATATATATATATATATATATATATATATATATATATATATATATATATATATATATACTCGGCATCCATAACCCTAATAGGCCGTGATCCCTATGCAGCGTATGGGTCTATCATACGTGCATGGGCTGAAAACCATAGCTTAACAACAAAATCAGTATGCAACCAAAAAAACATATGATAATGAGCCATGTATAATACTTTCTAATATTAAATAATATTTTATGTTAAACTTTATAAAAGGTAACGATTCAAGAACGCTCACATCCTGGCTAATTACGACTTATTCTTAAAAGCAACAACTCCGATGACACGAAGAACTAGAATCACGAGAAATAATGGAGACGATAAGATGGATGACCTTGTTCAACGCTTATGAAATTTGGAGAATAGAAAAAAAAATCGGTGATAGACAAAATAATGGTAGGGGAAATAAGTAATAGAAGGGCATGGGTAAAAGTGGGTTTATGAAAAAGTGACAAGGATACGAACAAGGGTTTGGCCTAGTGGTAACTCCATTAGCCTAGAACCTGGAGGTCCCAGGTTCGAATCCCTTAAGTAGTACCTTAATAGCAACAAAATGAACCTATATCACCCTTATCAAAAAAAAGAAAAAGTGACAAGGAGAAAATTGAAAAGTTGAGCTAAAACAATGAGTCATTTCCAATGACTCATAGATAGGAAGCATTTGGAGATTTAGCATGAGATGAGCTAAATGACTCATGCATTTTTTTTGTAACGGGTCATTTGGTACCAAATGACTCATTAAAATGACCCAAACAAACGACCCTAAGACTAAGAGGAAGGTCCTAGGTTGGCGGAATCGAGTTGGTGTCGGAGTTAGACTCATCAACATCACTAATTGTTCTGATGCAAAGAAAGTGGAAATTAACTAACTAATTTGGGCGTGCTTTTATTTTTCTTGCGGATGTACAGGGGATTTAAGTGCAATTATAAATAATTTCATGGGGCAACCCAAAGCAATCCTGGAATGACGACAACACTCAGCAGGAGGGGCTCTGCGGAACAGTCAGGGGGACTGGTTGGGAGGATTCTGCAGTAAGTTGAGAACTGAGACAATTTTATTGCGGAACTGGCACAATTTTATTGGCGAAATTGTGGGGATCTATTGTGGTATGGAGTTGGCATGGCTCAAAGGGACCCGATTTCTTATCTTAGAATATGATTCTCAGTTAGCTCTTAATCTAATTGAAAAGAGGACTGATAATGTTCACCCGTATTTCAAAATTTTAGGTAACATTCGGCGGCTTTTCAATTAGAAATGGACTTGATTGTGACTAGGACAACCTATAATGATGACTGAGACGTGCAGTAGAGTTGTGTAGGGATTCAGTTTTTTAACTGGTTGCTTACTAACTGTGACTTTTATTGATCACTTGTTCTTGACAGTTGTTTATGCATCTAGTTCAGGGAATCAGAATAAGAGATAGAGCATATAGGTAGCCATGTGAGATTTGAGCCTGCTCGTTTCTTTCTTGTGCGATAGATCCCTCTTCCATGATGTGTAGCATTCACGTTGTCACTAATTAGGATGATGGAGGCACATGAATAGCCCACGACCAAATTGACTGTCCTGGTATGTCATGCCCCCTATTCAGCCCCTTTGAGTCGTGTAACTTTCTTTCTTCGTGTCTACAATGAAAAATCACCCTTTTGCATTTCTTAGAGGTTCCACATAGTGGTTTTTGCATGTTATCTGCTGTTTCTGCTAGAAATAATATGAGGGTTTGAGGTAGTTCTTAAAAGTTGGCATGTGTTTGAAAAATGTGCAGAGGTGGTGGTTCTCTCAAAGAATTAAAAAAATGAATGAAAGCAAAAGAGATCCACTACTAAAAATCTGAATCATGCTCATTAAATAGTGTTTCTTAGCAGTCTGGCTTAGAAATAATAACAGTATTGTGACCTCCTTCACTCTTTTGCTATAACGAACTTGATCAATGCAGGAAGGCAGAAAGAAAGTAAAAGGTTTGAATAATGGTAACTGTGTTGGGTTTGGAACTGTGGAACCTAGTGTTATGAATTATCCCAACACCTAAAAGGCCTCTTCCCCATGTCCAAGACCTTAGCCAGTCATCCGAACTCGTGTCTAAGACCTCCAGTCTAGTTAGTGATGACACCCGATATGTGAACTCAAGCATTTAGAAGCTGCCGTCATGGTGAAGAGACGTTAGGGATTGAGAGAATAAGCATGCGCATTTTTCGCATCAAATTGTCCTGAACCCACTAGCCGAGAGTGAGCGATTAATTTCCTTTACCCCGGTGAGGACCTAGATTGCTCGGTCTTGATTCTGATGTCTTGAATTTTATGCGTGAGGTGCCTCACTTGAATAAGTGGTTGAGTCAAGTCTAGGTTGGTTGGTGAACAGAAGGGAAACTCTTCCTTTACCCGATTTTACTGCACTCGAATGTAAGCTATGGTGGTTGTCCAGGTTGTTGTTGTTGTTGTTGTTCATGTGTTGATGTCTAAAATCCA